CCTTGCAGTTTGAGAAATTCATTTAAATCCATTTATTCTATGAGTGCAGACATTGGAACAGATTGACTAATCCTCTTTCAAATTTGTGTAAATTAGAGTTAATTGAATAATTTATAACAAAATTAGACTGCTGTTAAGTAATTAGGTTACTTTGTTTTTAATTAAGGGGCCTAATCCAGCAACAAAGCCAATTTCAGTCCTGTAATCAGTGCTGGCTTGATATAAAAATTATAGTTTGGGGAAAAATTACAGATTACTAGTAGGAAATTTAATTGAGATTACTGTAAAATATATTTTAGCAGAAAATACATTGAAAATCTAAGAAATTTGCAAAATTATTATTGCAAAAATGATGAAAAAGTGTCTGAATATCCTTCCTCCTTGCCATATCCAATCTTGTTATTCTGCAGAAAAGAGGGGGGGGGGATTTTGTACTCTAATGATGCTGGAAAATGAAGGAATTTTATCAAAATGTGGTTTATTTGAACAACAAGAGTCATGTTCAATTTCTTAGATATTTTTTAAAAAATATTTATCTAGAGTAAATTCTATTTAAACATGAATATTTTAAAGCTATTTCATCACTAATGCTTATAAAAAATTCAAAAGATGGTGTAAATAATAAAAAAAATAGAATATAAGCTACTACATGCATTTATCAGTATGTTTTAATAAAACAAAATGTATTTCAGTGATGCATTCTCAAGAAGGAGGAGATTAATGAACCCTCCCCTCTTACAATGAACAACACATGGACACGCTCAGGATGGTCCCTTTGCTTTCATTAAGAGTTCCAAGGTATGGTTTTCCTAGAAAATCTAGTTAATCTCTTAATATTTAAGTTATTTAGAACTTTTGATAGATTATTAGAAAATAAATTTCTTCAGAACTGCAGTTATTTAAGCACTTTGCTTACAATTGAGCACTGTATTCAATCAGACAATATGATTTATCTGCCCTTGGCATTTAATCAATTTATTAATTATGTCAATAATAAGAAATGATATGCAAATGAATATATTTGCCTTTCATGAGAATATACATATTTAACATCAATTCCATGAAATGTCCATGAAAATTGGCTAAACTGTAGGTCACCCCCCTTCAAAATTACAAAATTTTCAGTGGGGATGTATTTGATTCTCTGATGCCAGCAACCCACTGCTGATAGATTTTTTTTTTAATCTTATGTACATTTGAACTACATATAATTCTCTTTCTTTCCATTGATTATTTTATCTACATTAGTTTTCACTTTTTCAATAACCTAGCTTTTTCTTACAAAAACCTGCTGATTTTCTTCATTTTCCATTAATAACGGGTACCTGCTACCCCGATTGATTAACATGATCTACCTTGAGATAGTATTAGAGAGAATAAGAAAAACAAGCAAAAGATATGCGAGATTAATCATTTTATTTTAAAAGTTTGAAAGAAAAAAAGGAAAAATGCTTCAATTTATTGACATTTTTTCTGTTTAACAGATGAGGGTCTGATTGACTGGGGTGTGAAATGTAACAGTCAATGGTGTACTTAAGACTGTCAGTCCCAATATTCAAGAGGTGAGATAAGCAATGGATGTGTGTTCTAAATTTACTAAATTGACCACTTTTTATAAATGTTTCTTTTACTCTATAGGAAAAACCCCTACATAAACAAATACATGGGCGCAGACATTTTGGACACCCAAAGTTGTGCGGAGGAGAAAATGCTACCTGGCGCGTGATTGGTCAATAAGAGAAAAGACTTGATATGTATTTGACAAGTGAAATAAAGTTGATAAAAATGTAATATCAAGACTTGGGTTTCTTTGAGGTATGTAGGAGTTACAGGTAAAAATTTGAAAGGAGGGGTGCCCTTTGGTTAGAGATTTTCATTTGGTGTCAAACGCACCTTGTTGTAAACAAATGGAAATTGAAAGTAAAAGTGCCGCGTGACGGTATATTTTTTCTGTCATGTTTTGTTTTCCAATATCTCGAACTTTCACGACAAAAAGGCCATTTGCCCGAAATTCAATATATGTATGAGTAACAGGGGCTCAAGTTTGTATGGAAGTCTATGGGAAAACATTTAGTGGTGTTTGTCCTATAGAATAGGTATGTATTTCATGGAAAAACATTGATTACAGCCAAAAAATCAATCAGTTCCTATTTTTTTGGCATTGAGATCATATTTTAATTAGTTTTTACTATTTCTTAAAAAAATAGAGGGTTTGGGTAAATTGAGGCCCACAATGGGGGCTGCACATGGTGAAAAAATGCTAATTTTTTTGCCCTAGCTCTCATATTTTCAATAAATGTACATGTAAATAATTTTAAATAAATATTTCTGCTGAAATTTACTGTGAATATTGTAAATAATACAATATTGATGTTTATGGGCATCATCAATACACAGAACATATGAATATCCCCCTTGCAGTTTGAGAAATTCATTTAAATCCATTTATTCTATGAGTGCAGACATTGGAACAGATTGACTAATCCTCTTTCAAAGGAGTTTTCCACTTAAGTATAGCAGCGTGGTCCCTTTTTTGCCCTTATTTTACAGAATATACATGAGGATACGGTATTATTTTTAGTTTCATTGTGTATAAAAAAGTATTTCTAATTAACATTTTGTACAATCATTATTAATAATTTTGAGTATCAAGAATTTTTATAGAAGCCAATTTTCAACACTTACCGCACATACAAATTCCGGAACATTTTCTTTCGAACAGAGTACGGTTCCTCTATTACATACAAATGGGCGGAGACATTTAAATTAGGTATTATATAAAGAAAGACACCGGTGAATTGTAGCGTGAGATAAGAAATAATAAACAATATACAATGGGTAATAATAATCTTCAATACGTTTGAATTTTATTTTGCATCATTCGTATTCTTCTGAACTTGGGGTGGTTGGGAGTCTTTTTAAGTTCTTGAGGTATTTTTGTCGGGGTTTTGAAAATCCCCCTAATCACATAATCACAATAATTTTTTAAAATCTATCATTGTTGAATAAAATGTCAAGATATTTTACCCACTACAATGATTTTCTTCAATATGATTGTTTGAAAAGCATGAGCGAATTCATAATAATGAACGGACAGTAAATACACATAGACATACACTCCCATTCAGGGGGGAGGCTAAGAAAAGAAAACAAGAAACATGAATTTGATAAAGCAAAAGAAAAAGATCGAGGAAATCCTTCTCCAAACTTGAAAACGATTAATGTAGAATTAGGATTTTAAAAAAAATACTCATTTTTTATTTGAAAAAATTAAACATTAACATTAATGTGTGTTTATTTATATTGTAACAGCGTAAAGGCGTATGAAAGTTTTCTTTTTTCTGGGGGGGGGGGGTGGAAGAAAAAAAGAATTATACCTGAAAAGAATGGGTCACCCCTCCCCCAGGTACTACCTGCCTGACATGTATATATATTTCTTAACTTCGCTGTAAATTCGGATTTACTTATCGATTATAAATACATTCGGAGTTTTTCCCGGTTTATATAAATTTTATATGCAGCTAGCATCCAAAAATGTGACAAGAGTATAAAGTTGCTTTGAATATTGAAGTGGTCAGTATGTGAGTGCATATGTTAAGACTGATTAAATGTGAAGAAATTATTACGTGTTTTTATATTTCTGCTACAATTTCTTTTTCGCAAGAAATTGATTTAATGGGTATTTATATACATCTACGCGTGTGCTTTTCGCAATGAACAGGAATATTTCGATTACGTGCATGAAAATTTAAAAAAAAATGTCCCGGAAAATCGTCAAAGTTTAATTAATTGTTATATTCATCGAAGTCTATTTGAAAGCCTTTTTTTATTAAAAAAATGAAACATACATGCTGAAAACCATATTTCAAATACGAGCTAAGTACAGAAAACACGCTTTCCAAAGGTATTCACCTGTGGCGGAATGGAATCACGTGACATATTATCTATTCTTAGCAGGTCAACAAGAGGTTAATCCTATGTAAATGTACTCACCGAACAGATTCAAAATCATGATACTTTTAAGTAGAAGACATAGAGCGCAATGTTGTTCAAAAAGATATTTTCACACAATCCGTATAAATTTAATATACACATTATATTTTGATGTCGACTTTGAACAAAGCTGCGCTCGATGTTTGCTGAAAGGTGAAGGGGGGGTCACAAATTTCTTTTGATATTCTGAAAATGAAGGAACCTTCAAAAACAGCTTCGCGTGTTCTTTTTTGCAATTATTTGAAATTTTTAAACGTTGGAGCATATACTACAGACATAAGAGAGCAATGTAATGTACTTTTTAAGCTTTTTAATGAAAGTTTAAAATTTGACAAGTAACCGGGGACCACGGATAATGGCTTATTGAGACTTCTTCTTTGTGTAAATTAGAGTTAATTGAATAATTTATAACAAAATTAGACTGCTGTTAAGTAATTAGGTTACTTTGTTTTTAATTAAGGGGCCTAATCCAGCAACAAAGCCAATTTCAGTCCTGTAATCAGTGCTGGCTTGATATAAAAATTATAGTTTGGGGAAAAATTACAGATTACTAGTAGGAAATTTAATTGAGATTACTGTAAAATATATTTTAGCAGAAAATACATTGAAAATCTAAGAAATTTGCAAAATTATTATTGCAAAAATGATGAAAAAAGTGTCTGAATATCCTTCCTCCTTGCCATATCCAATCTTGTTATTCTGCAGAAAAGAGGGGGGGGGGGATTTTGTACTCTAATGATGCTGGAAAATGAAGGAATTTTATCAAAATGTGGTTTATTTGAACAACAAGAGTCATGCTTATCTGCAGTTATTTTTTTTTAATTTCTTAGATATTTTTAAAAATATTTATCTCAGTAAATTCTATTTAAACATGAATATTTTAAAGCTATTTCATCACTAATGCTTATAAAAAATTCAAAAGATGGTGTAAATAATAAAAAAAATAGAATATAAGCTACTACATGCATTTATCAGTATGTTTTAATAAAACAAAATGTATTTCAGTGATGCATTCTC